TCGTAGCCCAATTCCGGGCCCAACCGAAAGACGGTTCCGACAACTTGGCGACTCTGCTGGGGCCAGGTAAGTGAGTCAGGCCGAAATTAATTTTTGGTTATCTTTTTAAACGAAAATTGTAAGTTTAAATTTTAATTTAACTATTCGTTTCTTATTATTTATCTTTGATTTTTTCCAAATAAATAGTTGTACTGACGTTTTTTTTCAATGATTTTAGATTTTCAAAATTTTCATTTCAAGCTCTATTCTCGAGCTCCAAACCCTTTTTAAGTGAGGGTAAAAGCGACGCCTTTGTGAAAATTTATTCTCCGTGCGGGTCTAGCAAGTAACCTTCGGGATTCATATACCTTATGTCTTCGTGTGAATTTATTCACCGTGCGGGCATAAGGGAATGTTTACTCTCGAGTTTAACTTAGTCCACATAAGCTTGTAATGGGCTTAAGACTAAGGGTCTGGCAAGCCAAGGGGGCACCAGCAAGGAGAACTCAGGTACCTTTTTTAGAACCTAAACTGAGAGACTATAGGGAATTAGAGCCCACCCCATAACCTCACTTCAAACCCTAAGCTGTTTTAATATTATTTCCTGCTTTATTTCATGTTCAAAGAACGTGAACTAGAAATTTATGCGGTTAGGACTTGTTCAAAATCAACTTGTGGGATAGAGATCATGTCCGGTTAGGAATAATAATCATGTGGGTAGGACTTTTTCATGATTGTTTTGATTATTTTTACCTCACTAACTCTTTTCATTTTTGTTCTCTTTTATTTTATTTTCATCGTTTGCATCATCCAAAATAGGTATTGATCCACCAAAAACATGTTCATTAAATATAAATAGTCTGTATTAATGGACAAAGGGGTTATAATACAAAGAGATAAAAAGCTCAGAAGTCCAGCCATGGTCAAAGAATACTCAGAGGCAAAGGTTGTAGGGGCAAGACGAGGAAAAGGTTACTGACTCGGACACTCCTTTCAAAAACTACGAGAACAAGATGACGAAACCCTAGCTGAGCTGGATGCCATTGCTGACGAATTCAAGAAGCAAGCTTCGGATAGTTTCTATCGATGGAGGGCTCCAATGGTGTTGCCATTAGGGAACAGACTCAGCAGAGAGTGGAAGACGAAGATGCAGTCCTTCTAGACTTTTTTTGGGGCAAACAGCTCGTCACTTGCACAATCTAGCCAAATGAGCTGGAACGGTTCGACAGACGAAAGATGAACCAACTTGGCAGAGGCTGTTCAGGATTTATACTATCAAAATGTTTTTTTGTCTCTTCAGACGTAACACTTTTTCCCCAATAAGGAGTATTTATAATAACATACACATTTTTGGATCAATGCCTCGAACATTTCATGCATCATACATTTAGAAATATTTTGCATTTTGTTATTTTCCTTTACATTCGCATTAACTAGCAGAAGCATGTCTCATCGAAAGGAACACATACTGGATACACCACCTCAAGCCTTTGACACGCCCCATCCGTATAACACGCGCTCAAAAAAGAAGAAGATGGACATGATGTACAAGAATGTGCCGAATTTAGAGCCTTGATCCAACTAATGATGGACAGAAAAGAACTAGAATTTTACGATGAAGAAAATGACACTCCCAAAGCAGAAAGAGTCATGGCAATTGGGGAATCCTGATGAGGCCCTATTCAATTTTGAGGCATCTTGTTTGAATTTGTTTTTTGAACTTTCTCATATTTGGAACTTGTTTTTGAACTTTCTTTGGATATTTCAATGAATTTATGCTGAGCATTGAATCAAATCTACAACTTGAAATTCTTTGAATATCAACTGAGTTAAGAAACTTTGTAAATGATCGAATTTATATATCTTTGGCAAGGGAACATGATTAAAATTGGTAAAATAATGACTTTTTCCCCCCCAGAAGGAATGCTCGAACACCATACCCTTCTCTTTTAAGAACCAATATAGTCTTCTCCCTTCATAAGGCTTGGTATTTAGATGTGCATAGGTGCAGACAACATGGGGTATCTTTTGCATATGACAATTACTATACTTTTTGTTTAAGACGTTCAATGATGATAATGATCTTCACAGATGGAATAGTCAAGTATGCAAATCTAGTTTAGGTCAGTTGTTTGGAAATTGAACTCTAAAGATGAGATTCCTTGACTTTCAAAAACACTTAGACTATAATAGGTTCTCATTGACAAACTTAAGAAATTAGCCCAGATTATAATATTATATATATACAATAAAGCTTGAGTTGTCCCTCTATAGCAATTGGTTAAACGCCCTGGCTTTATGGATAATATTCAGCTAGCCTGATAAAGGTGATTATACTATACAATAAAGCTGAGACTGTCCCTCTAAAGCAATTGGTTAAACGCCCCGGCTTTATGGATAAGATTCAGCTAACCTGATAAAGGTGTTTACATATTGAGTTGTCCCTTTAGAGCAATTGGTTAAACGCCCCGGCTTTATGGATTCAGCTAGCTAGACAATGGCAAATTAAATTTATTTAAATAAGGAGTTTCAGTAAAAATGGACTAAGGGAGTTAAGGAACACCTGTTATAGTCAATTTCGCACGAGCACTCAAGAATTTCATTTTTAGACCGATATTTCTGCACTACCTTTGTTAGAGGAGCTTACAAAGCTTGAAAAAATGGAAGATTTCAGAGAACCAAAATAGAAGGTCTAGTAATTGATAATGCTAGTTGCGTCATTTTGTCCGCACCCAATTAAAATGCCAAGGCAAAGAAAAAGCATGTTGCAATAACCGAAAAATGAAATTTTTTTATGGCTGAAACCGTAGGTCAACCTAAAAGCTAACTCATCTACTTGAATATTTGTCAAAGAGCTATAACTCTAGAAGCATTAAAAGAGCTATTGATTCATTTGATATTATTTGAACTCATGTTTATGATTTGATTCAATTGTAGGCATGGATTATGGGGCAATGTTTTACAGGAATTCTTACATTTTTATATCTCTTTTTTCTCTTCCCCCTAAAATAAGAGAAATGAGAAAAACATTTTCAAACAGGACAGTCTCAAATGTGAAAGGTCCTGGAAGGTGCTAAGGCTCATTTTGCCTCTCTTAAAGAAAGAACGAACAATGTTAAATTTTGAGCATTTCATAGGACAATCAGTCCGAGAGATCAAACAGAACTTGTAACGTTATCAATAACCTGAGAAGAAAATGGGGCATGGTTGATTCCAAGGACAAAACCAGCAGACAAAAATAAGGCTCCATCCAAGGGATAAAACAGAATTAATTCACGTTGCATTCATCTTAGACATACTTAAGAGCATCACATTTATCATTTTTAGCATATATAATTTTTTGCAGCTTTTTGAGTCAAGTTTCAACTTCAAGACAAAAAGTACTCGATTCAAAAGCACATTCAAAAGTTGACAGTGGTTTCTCAACTTCACAATGAAGGATCGTTTGTCAACAAACATCTTTCTAGTGTCATTCAGAGTCAATTTCAACTTCATAACAAAAGATATTGAACTCAAAAGTGATGCAATTTGCAAATGTGGATTTTAACTTCATAACGAAGGACGTCCAATTAAAAGCTCAATTTCACAACGAATGAGCCATCCACAATTTAAAATTCACGAAGAAGGATATCATGCCCGATGAAGTGATTTAGCGTCACAGCAAACATGCCATCCACAGATTTTACTTCCTTAAGTCAACGATTAGAGCTTCTGAAAGGATTTCTTTAACATGCAAGAACAAGAAGATTATCGATCGCCTTTGAGATTGTTTCTCTCGAAACAATGGGTCGTCTCGCTTGAGACTAATTCACTTAGAACAAAATATTGTCTTTGTCTCTCTTGAGACAATTTCTCTTGAAACAAATTTTCTCTCTTGAGGCAGTTTCCATTGAAACAAATTTTGTCTCTCTTGAGACAGTTTCCCTTTAAACAAATTTTATCTCTCTTTAGACAGTTTCCCTTGAAACAAAGTCTTTGAATATGTTTTCCTTAAAACAAATTTTGTCTCCCTTGAGGTAGTTTCTTTTGGAACTAAGTTTTGTCTCTCTTGAAACAAATTTTGTCTTTGTCTCTCTTGAGACAGTTTCTCTTGAAACAAATTTTGTCTCTCTTGAGACAGTTTTCCTTGAAACAAAATCTTTTAATATGTTTTCCTTGAAATAAATTTTGTCTCCCTTGAGACAGCTTTTTTTAAACTAAGTTTTGTCTCTCTTGAGACAGTTTCTCTTGAAACAAATTTTGTCTCTCTTGAGACAGTTTCCCTTGAAACAAAGTTTTGTCTCTCTTGAGACAGTTTCTATTGTAACACCAATCTTTGAATATGTTTCTCTTGAAACAAAATTTTGCCTCCCTTGAGACAGTTTCTCTTGAAACATAAAAAAAACTTTTGAAATTGTTTCTCTTGAAGCACAAATAAAACCTTTGAAAATGTTTCTCTTGAAACACAAAAGACCTTCGAGTTCGACTACGCTCAGCTCCAAGGCACATCATTTGTAGCATAGCTCAAGGGCATGTCAAATTTACAGTATAGCTTAAGTCGAGAAAAGTTATCTGTCAACAAAAATTGACAGCGAGGACCAGACAAAGGCCCAATTCCAGGAAGAATTTTCAAGATGAAATCTTTAAACCGATAAGAAGACAAAGGCCTAATTCCAGGAAGCCCAATAAAATTTGAGAGGACCAGACAAAAATTGATTGTCTTTTTTTTCGTCTTTGCCCTATTCTTGTTAACACAAAAATGTGCAAAGAGGGGCAGTTGTAGACACCCGTTTTTGTTCGGGTATACAAAAACATTATATTATATTATTTATTTATTTATTATTATTATTATTATTATTATTTATTTTTTGTAGGCCCCACACTCAATCACCAGGATTCAATAACCCTAATTTAGTGGGATTCAAAAAACAAACCAACGTATTTGAGTCCTATTAAAACACTAAAACTGAGGCATTTGAGTCCAAGTAAGACTCTAAAACGTCTCTAAAAATAGCCAATCACTAGGCTATTTAAAGGCAAGCAAAGGGGAGATATGGAGGCAATGGATTCAGTTTTCTATCCGCTAAGAGAGTTCGCTAAGGATAGCGTTCGTCTTGGCAAGAAATGCCACAAGCCTGATCAGAAAGAGTTTACGAAGGTGGCGTTTCGTACAATGATCAGATTTGTAGGGTTTTTTGTTAAGATCATCTTTATCCCCATTAACAACATTATTGTTGGATCTGGTTAGGTGCGGTTCGATTCCTATCATTTCTATTTTGTTTTTCATGTTACTTTGCTGGTTTATTGTATTATTATATGTTATTGATTTGGTATTGTTCTTAATTTATTCGAATTAAAATTAATAAAGCACGGAGAATAAAAAATCTCTAAAAATTTGGTTGTTGATTACTCTAGGAAAATAGAATTTGCCTGAATATTATAGGGTTTTCTTAACCTGATATATTATTTTATTTATGAATCCATGTTTGGCATCTCAGTGCGCTTGATCATTTCTTTATATAGGGATTTTATTCTACCTGGGAGATATAGTGAACTCAACGGATCAATGAAATTATTATTTTTTATTTTATTTCATTTTTTATTTATTTGTTTATTTTTATTTTTACTTAGCTATTATTTTTCCTTTTTGTTCTATTTATTATTTTCATATTTACACACTTTTTACCTTTATTCAATTATGTACTTCACTACGAATCTAATATTCCTTTTTTAAGGGTACAATTTTAAATTAATCAAAGTAATTCGAGTTGAGTACTTTTAAATTTTAATTTTAATTTTTCAATTTTCGCAATTAAAGATAACCGACAAATTAATTGGTACCGAAAGGGCGGTTCAAGGGTGTTAATTCTTCTTTGACCATAACCGACTCCCGAACCTGACACGTTTCTGGTCAAACACAGATAAGTTAAGATGGTTTCCAACCCACCTAAATTCGTTTTAAAATGGTCGATGACGACTCTAACCCAATCAATTCAAGTCGTAGCCAAATTTCGGTCCAACCAAAAGACGGTTCCAACACCTACATGAGATAATTTGTTTCTCCGCATGGGTTTTAGCAAGTAACATTTTGGGTTTATATACCTTATGTCTACGTGAGATAAATTGTTTCTCCGCATGGACATAAGAGAATATATCCTCTTGAATTGAACTCGATCAACCCAAGCATGTAATAGCTAGGATTGAGGGTTTGATAGCCTAAGGAGGCACCAACATGGACAATTCGAGTACCCTTTTTCTTAGAACCCAATACCGTATATAGTTAGCCATAGTAACCCGCCTCGATAAAATTCATGTCGAACCTCTATCCGTCAGTAGTTACCCAAAATAAGTGTACACAAAGGAGAAACGACTCACCTCTTCTCTTTACCTGCATTATTTTATTTTATTGATATGTGAATTCTTTTATACTGACATATTTTCTATGTTTGATTTTTTTTATTGTGTGGAATTGTATGATCATCGTGAATAAAAGAAAGGTGTTGATTAACCAAGTAATCATTAGAGTAGAAGAGTGGCCATTAATATGGAAAAGAGTTTTCATAACAAGGAAGAACCCGATCCGGCGGTTCGAGCTTAATCTGAAGAAACAAAGAGCAAAAGGAGATAGCTTGCTTGGGGATTACGTATCACAAATAACCATAGATGTCAATGTCAATTTCAAGCAGAACGATTTACAAAAGCTTATAGAGATTTGGGAGTGCTTGAGAGTAGCAACCAAAGAGAAGTTCCACAAGAAAACGAATGTTGTCCATGGCGTTGTCTCAAGAAGGTGATACTCGAGCACAAAGATGAAGATAAGAGATTAGACACCTTTTCCCTGGCTATATATGGTCTGGTAATATTCCCTAAGGCTTTGTTCCACGTGGAGGCTACTGTTGCATATTTCTTTGACGGATTGGAGAAAGATAAATCCTGCACCGACTGTCTTGGCAGAGACCTTCCGATCTTTAAATAAATTTCATATATTGGAGCAAAGTCGATTCAGAGGTTGCAGTCAACTACTCACCGTCTGGATTCAGATTCGTTTCTAAAAAGAAGAGAAAGTTGTTGGAATCATGACTGAAATCATAGAGCTAAATAAAAAGGTCGAACCACATTCGTAGATTGATCTCTCTTGTAAAGATGAAAGCTCTTTTGGACGAATAGAAATCTTTCTAAGAATGATTACTTTTTGAAATCAATACCTTTTACATTTGCATTCTGCACTGCATTTAAACATTTTCACATTTTTTGCATATGCATTTGCATATTTACATTTTGCATGGCATTCATTAAAGCATTTTTTTACATGCATTAATCATAGAATTATGAGTTTATCTTGTGGAGGATTCTGAGGAAGTGCTTCTAACTATGTAACTTCATTCAGATAGTATTGAGAATGGAAGCAAAATTTGATAAACTGAAGAAAGAACTCGAAGAGAGTTTGCAAAAGATGCAAGCAAAGTGGGAAGCTAAAATGGAGCAGGCGCAAAAAGCCGCCATAGATCATATCTTGCAAAACCAAAATGACCTGGTTGATCAACTTGTAGCCAAACTGAATGGGCTCAACCAAGAAATAGGTAAAGAGAAGATTTCATTGACCAGGGAAACCTCTGAATGTGTGATAGCCCATGCTAATCCATTGATACTCATTTCACCCACAAGCTTCCAAGCCACCAAGTAGGCTTCTCCGCCACTAAAACTCATACAACTATGTTAAATCCTCGGGCGACAAGAAGAGCCAAGAATGATATCCCTGATAAATTAAAATAGTGGTGCAGAGAGACATTCCAAGGAATGAGAGGAAAAAGCTCTCACAATGAAATGGATGAAACAAAACTAGTCTTAGTTCTTGACTTGGTGATTCTACCCAAATTCAAGATGCGCGACTTTGAGAAGTATAGTGGAACCAGTTGCCCTAATGCCCATCTCACGATGTTTGTTTGAATGATGACTAGATACACCAACAACGATCAGATGTTGATCCATTACTTTTAAGACAGTTTGATTGGACCTGCTTCTAAGTGGTATAATCAATTGAATCGTACTCAAATCCGCTCTTGGAAGGATTTGGCTAGTGCCTTTCTAGGCCAATACAAGCATATGATTGATATGGCCCCTGATCGAACAACGCTGCAGAATATGGAGATAGGAAGTGATGATTACTTCCGACAATACGCACAACGATGGAGGAATGTTGCATCTCAAGTACACCCACTAACGACTGAAAGAGAGTTTATCACTTTATTCATCGATACATTGAAATCTCCATATATCAACCATATGATAGGGGATGCAACTAAGAGTTTCTCTGACATCGTCATGTGTGGAGAAATGATCAAAAGAGCCATCAAGAATGGTCAGATAGGTGGCAATAGTAGTACTGACATTGAAAAAAGAGCCGAGATTAACGTAGGGGGATCTTACCTGGCTAATATGAGGGCCAAACCTCATAAGACATTTCATCCAATTCCAATGACATATGAGGAATTGCTCCCAACGCTAATTGAGAAAAATCTTGTGACTCCAGTTCAATCCAAACCAAGAGAGACCCCATATCTTGAAGGACATGATGTTAACCCCTTATGCAACTATCATATGGGGAGCTCGGGGCATACCACTGAGAATTATAGGATGTTGAAGCGTAATATCCAAGATTTGATTAATTCAGGGGCATTGACATTCAATGTGTAATGGGGACATTCTAATCGAGAGTCGACTGGGCATCCATCAGGAATTTTTTTTGTATTCTCATGCATGTCATCTTGTTTGAACTTGTTTTTCTTACGTTTAAATGTTTGTAAGTTACTTGACGTTCGAACATTTTCAATAAAATGTTTCCCTTTTAGGAAATGAACAATTAGCAAATTTGAATCTTGAATTTCCTTGAATATCATTTTTATTAAATGCTTTTTAATAATTGAGGTTGTAAATCTTTGACAAATGACAAGATTGAATTTATGCAAAACAATGACCCCTTGATCCTAATCTAAACATACACCAGAGTACATACCCTTCTCATGTAGGGACCTAGCTAGTTTTTCTTCTCATGAAGAGTCCATCAAGGATTTGGCATTTAGGTATGTGTTAGGAGTGGACAAAATGGAGCAACTAGCACATGAGATTGCAAAACTAATTGGTTTCTACTTTCGTTGATGATAATCAACGATGATCATGATCTTCTCAGATGGAATGGTCAAGTAGGTGAATCTAGTTTAGGTCAGTTGCTTGGGAATTAAACTTTAATTATGAGATTTTCTGATCTTCAACAAACACCGGGACAATAACAGGTTGTCCTTGACAAACTTAAGAAATAGAATCCATTTACCCAACAAAAAAATATATATGTATACAATAAAGCTGAGCTATTCCGCTAAAGCAATTGGTTATAGAGAAAACTCGAAAGTCTTGACTTTATGAATAGATTATATTCAAACCATGACATTGATCGGGTACTCGGCAATTCGGTGTTTGCTCCACTGTGATTGTCAAGTCAAAGACTTTGTGACGACATGAATCCTTAAGCTAGCCGAACAAAGACAATTATAAGATATATGTACAATAAAGTTGAATTTAACTAGCCAAACAATGGCAAATTAAGTCAAAATTACTAAATAAGGAGTTTCGGTGAATATGGACTAAGGGAGTTGAGGAGCACCTGTTATAGTCGAACTCACACGAGCACTCAGAAATCTCATTTTTAGACTGATATTTATGCACTATCTTGACTAGGTGAGTCTACGAAGCTTGAACAAATGTAAGATTTCAGAGAACTGAAATAGAAGTGTTATGAAAGGTCTAGCTATTGATTATGCTAGTTGTGTCATTTTGTTCACTTCCGATTAAAATGCCAAGCCAAGAAATAGGGGCAAACCGTGATCTTTACGATGACCAAATCGGGGAAACAAACCTTAGAGTTTAGGTATCTAACCTCAAAACTAACATGTCAATCTTTATATTTGTCCAAGATTTACAATTATCAAAGATTAAAAGAGCATTTGATTCTTTTGATATCCAATGAACTCCTGTTTTATGATTTGCTTCAATTGTGAAACCTAGAAGGATGCAATATTTTTTAAAAAAATCTTTTGATATTTTTCAGACTTTTGAAATTTCAAAGGAAGAAATGCATTTTCAAACAAGATAAGTTCTCTGGAAATATCTTGGAATTCAACGAACATCTCTCTGAAGCTCAAGATCGAAGCTAGGGAAAGAAAAGATAAATTTTGGGGGGCAAAATTTGATGGGACAAGAAAACAATTTCTCAGGTCGAGGTTTGCAAGAGTACACTCTGGTGGAAATGAAGACAAACTGAATCAAATATAGAGTGAAGACTGCTCTCGCAACC